AACTCGGAGGTGTCGTGTTTTCGGTGCTTGATCGGTCGGGCCGTGAAGACGTACGACTACATCAACCGCGTTGTTCTAACGCTTCTGCTTTTGGTCAATGAGGGTACATGGACGACACTCTCCCCTCTCGTTGCTATGCATCACCATGATCTTGCGTGTGCGTAGGAATTTTTTTTAAATTACTACATTCCCCAACAGACATAGTATTTGTGACAAAGCCACCTTTATAATTCTTTCATAAATGTTGCTCTTGATTCATTGCATATCCCGGTACACCGCCGGAGGCATTCACATAGAGTCATATTTTGTCCTAAGTATTGAGTTGTAATTCTTGAGTTGTAAATAAATAAAAGTGTGATGATCTTCATTATTAGAGCATTGTCCCATGTGAGGAAAGGATGATGGAAGCAATGATTCCCCCACAAGTCAGGATGAGTCTCCGGACTTTATGAAAAATAAAAGAGGCCAAAGAAGCCCAAATAAAAAAAGAGGCCAAAGAAGCCCACCAAAAAAAGAGAAAAAAATGAGAGAAAAAGAGAGAAGGGACAATGTTACTATCCTTTTCCACACTTGTGCTTCAAAGTAGCACCATGATCTTCATGATAGAGAGTCTCCTATGTTGTCACTTTCATATACTAATGGGAATTTTTCATTATAGAACTTGGCTTGTATATTCCAATGATGGGCTTCCTCAAAATGCCCTAGGTCTTCGTGAGCAAGCAAGTTGGATGCACACCCACTTAGTTTCTTTTTGATGAGCTTTCATACATTTATAGCTCTAGTGCATCCGTTGCATGGCAACCCCTACTCCTCGTATTGACATCAATTGATGAGCATCTCCATAGCCCGTTGATTAGCCGCGTCAATATGAGACTTTCTCCCTTTTTTGTTCTCTCACATAATCCCTATCATCATACTCTACTCCACCCATAGTGCTATATCCATGGCTTACGCTCATGTATTGCGTGAGGGTTGAAAAAGCTGAAGCGCGTTAAAAAGTATGAACCAATTGCTTGGCTGAAACCGGGGTTGTGCATGATGGGAGCATTTTGTTTGACGAAAATGAAGCATGGCCTAACTATATGATTTTGTAGGGATAAGCTTTCTTTGGCTATGTTATTTTGATAAGACATGATTACTTTGTTAGTATGCTCGAAGTATTACTATTTTTATGTCAATATTAAACTTTTATCTTGAATCTTTTGGATCTGAATATTCATGCCACAATAAAGAAAGTTACATTGAGAAATATGCTAAGTAGCATTCCAAATCAAAAATTCTGTTTTTATCATTTACCTACTCGAGGACGAGCAGGAATTAAGCTTGGGGATGCTTGATACGTCTCCAACGTATCTATAATTTTTTATTGTTCCATGCTATTATATTACCTGTTTGGATGTTTAATGGGCTTTACTAAGCCCTTTTATATTATTTTTGGGACTAATCTATTAACCGGAGGCCCAGCCCAAATTGCTGTTTTTTGCCTATTTTAGTGTTTCGCAGAAAAGGAATATCAAGTCCAAACGGAATGAAACCTTCGAGAGAGTTATTTTTGGAACAAATGCAATCCAGGAGACTTGGAGTGGATGTCAAGAAAGAAACGAGGCAGCCACGAGGCAGGGAGGCGCGCCCCGGGGGGTGGGCGCGCCCCCACCCTCGTGGGCCCCTCGCGGCTCCCCTGACCGACTTCCTTCGCCTATATATATCCATATACCCTGAAAACATCCAGGAGCACCACAAAACCCTCTTTCCACCACTGCAACCTTCTGCACCCATGAGATCCCATCGTGGGGCCTTTTCCGGCGCTCCGTCGGAGGGGGAATCAATCACGGAGGGCTTGTACATCAACACCATAGCCTGTCCGATGAAGTGTGAGTAGTTTACCACAGACCTTCGGGTCCATAGTTATTAGATAGATGGCTTATTCTCTCTCTTTCATTCTCAATACAAAGTTCTCATTGATCTTCTTGGAGATCTATTCGATGTAATTCTTTTTGCGGTGTGTTTGTCGAGATCCGATGAATTGTGGGTTTATGATCAAGATTATCTATGAACAAGATTTGAATCTCCTCTAAATTCTTTTATGTATGGTTTGTTATCTTTGCAAGTATCTTTGAATTATCAGTTTGGTTTGGCCTACTAGATTGATCTTTCTTGCAATGGGAGAAGTGCTTAGCTTTGGGTTCAATCTTGCGGTGTCCTTTCCCAGTGACAGCAGGGGCAACAAGGCACGTATTGTGTTATTGCCATCGAGGATAAAAAGATGAGGTTTATATCATATTGCTTGAGTTTATCCCTCTACATCATGTCATCTTGCCTAATGTGTTACTCTGTTCTTATGAACTTAATACTCTAGATGCATGCTGGATAGTGGTCGATGTGTGGAGTAATAGTAGTAGATGCAGAATCGTTTCGATCCACTTGTCGAGGACGTGATGCCTATATACATGATCCTGCCTAGATATTCTCATAACTATGCGTTTTTCTATCAATTGCTCGATAGTAATTTGTTCACCCACCATTATATGTATGCTATCTTGAGGGAAGCCACTAGTGAAACCTATGTCCCCCGGGTCTATTTTCCATCATATAAGTTCCCGATCTATTTTATTTTGCAATCTTTACTTTTCAATCTATATCATAAAAATACCAAAAATATTTATATTATTATTATCTCTACCAGATCTCACTTTTGCAAGTGGCCGTGAAGGGATTGACAACCCCTTTATCGTGTTGGTTGCAAGGTTCTTATTTGTTTGTGCAGGTACGAGGGATTTGCGTGTAGCCTCCTACTGGATTGATACCTTGGTTCTCAAAAACTGAGGGAAATACTTACGCTACTTTGCTACATCACCCTTTCCTCTTCAAGGGAAAACCAACACATGCTCAAGAGGTAGCGGGGGCCCACAAGGTAGAGGGGCACCCCTAGGGCGCGCCCTCCACCCTTGCCGCCACCTCGTGGCTCTTATGACTTGCACTCAAGTCCCCTGGGTGTCTTCTGTTCCAAGAAAAATCATCATGAAGTTTTATTCCGTTTGGACTCTGTCTGGTATTCCTTTTCTGCGAAGCTCAAAAAACAAGGAAAAAACAGAAACTGGCACTAAGCTCTAGGTTGATAGGTTAGTCTGAAAAATAATATAAAATATCATATTAATGCATATAAAACATCCAAAACAGATAATATAATAACATGGAACAACCAAAAATTATAGATACATTGGAGACGTATCAGTCATCACCTCCCAAAGCTTCTTCGTGCTCCAAGTCTTAGCAGGATACCGAACGATGCCCCGTCGAGATTGCAAAACACCAAAGGCACGCTCGACGTCCTTCTTGGCACTTTCTTGCTCTTGCGCAATTCTTTTCCTCTTCTCTCTGACAAGGTTGGGGATTGTCTTCACAATAGTGGTCCACTAAGAATAGATGCCGTCACCTAGGTAGTATGCTTTGTCGTAGGTGTGGCCGTTAATGGTAACATTCACCGAAGGGCTGTTGCCTTCGGCAAGCCTTGCAAACACCGGCGAGTGTTGAAGCACGTTGATATCATTATGTGATCCGGCCATGCCGAAGAAAGAGTGCCAGATCCAGAGATCTTGTGAGGCCACAGCCTCAAGTATGACAGTGCAAGCCCTGACATGGCCCTTATACTGCCCTTGCCAAGCAGAAGGGTGGTTCTTCCACTCCCAGTGCATGCAGTCTATGCTGCCAAGCATCCCTGTGAAGCCTCTGCTAGCATTCATCGCCAATAAATGAGTTGTATCTTCAGCAGTCGGCTCTCTCAAGTACTCAGGGCCAAACACAGCAATCACAGACTTGCAGAACTTGTACATGGAGTCTAGACATGTAGACTCGCTCATACAGACGTACTCATCAATGAGATCACTGGGCACTCCGTATGCAAGCATCCGGACGGAGGCAGTGCATTTCTGATAAGATGAGAAGCCAATCTTTCCAATGGCATCCTCTTTGCACTCGAAATAGTCATTGTATCTGACTACCCCCTCTCAAATACGGTTGAAAAGATGCCTACTCATACAGAAACGCCACCGAAATTTCTGATGTGTGAATGGGTTGGTTGTGTCAAAGTAATCCTTCCAAAGAAGAAAATGGCCGCTCTCTCGGTTGCGATTCAATGTCGAAAGGTGCCCCGAGATTGAGCCAAGGAACAACGACCGCTGGCTATTAAGGTGGTGAGGGACCAACACGGCAGCCGAGATCTCCTCCTCGTCATTGGACAAGGAATCATTGGAGCCGCAAAGAAAATTGTGGAAGAAGAACTCGTCGGCGGAGTCCATTTTGTACATTGGCAAATTCTCGAACAGCTTGCGGGCGTTGACGAAGGAGCCAGCCGACGAGGAGACGTGCGCCTCCTTTGGACCAGGTGGCTGCCCTGGAGGCGCCCGGCTGAACGGTCGGCGGGCGGACGAAAAGAGAACGCTCGTCCGTTTGGATCGCCGCATTGGGCCGACTTTTCTGGCCGCACCAACCCAAATGGACGCGCGCGGACGAAATGGGTCGCCGCGTTGGGGTTGCTTTAAACAATCTTGAATAGTTTTATTTTAAGAGAACTATATTGGTTAGCATGTCTCATAATATAAGTTTTTATGGTTATGCCGGCGATGATAGGTGAATTTGGTGATTGGTTTGTTTCGATTCTGATAATATAAGAGTGTTTTTGACACGTCATAGGCAGAACTATCTTTTGCAATCTGTTTAATAGGAACTTGGTAGCTATCTTGATGGAGCAATTTGTTTTGGCATCAAGCCACCAAGCAAAGGATCGATGTGGAGGATGCACTAGCCGCAAGTGAAACCGTCTCCTGAGAATGGCCAAATCGTTGAAGCTCGAGTGCCACTGATGCGTGAAGGTCCACATGCCAGACCCAGTTTTAACAGAGGAAACAAGAGGCGGAAAAGGAAGAAATCGCAAAACCAGATAAAGCCCACTCTCCCGCGCCTCCACCACTCGCTCTCCCGGCCTCCTCCAGTCCATCACCACCATGCCCGCCTCCCTCCTCCCCCCGACCTTCCTCCCCCACCACCGCCAGCGCCAGCGACTCCGCCTCCCCGTACCCAGCTGCACCACCTCCTCGGTCTCCGTCTCCGTCTCCGCCAGCCGCTACGACTTCGAGCCGCTGCTCGCCTACCTCTCCGACCCCTCCACCGTCGCCTCGCTCACCTCGCCGTCCCCTCCGCCCATCGTGCCAGCCCCCGAGCGCCGCCTCGCCGCGTCCTACTCCGCCGTGCCGTCGCACGAGTGGCACGCTCTGCTCCGGGGCCTCGCCGCCAGCGACGCGTCCCTGCCGCTCGCCTTCGCGCTGCTCCCCTTCCTCCAGCGCCACCGCCTCTGCTTCCCGCTCGACCTGCTCCTCTCCTCGTTCATCCACTCGCTCTCCGTCTCCGGCCGCCTGCTCCCGCACTCGCTGCTGCTCTCCTTCCCGCCCTCCCTCTCCGACCCACCCTCCCCGCTGCTGCTCAACTCCCTCCTCGCCGCCTCCGCCGCGGCCTCCCGCCCCGCCATCGCGCTGCGGCTCCTCGCACTCATCCGCGAGCACAACTTCCTCCCGGACCTCGCCTCCTACTCGCATCTCCTCGCCTCGCTGCTCAACACGCGGGACCCGCCCGACGCCGCCATCCTCGAGCGCCTCCTCGGTGACCTCAGGGAGTCGCGCCTCGAGCCAGACGCGCCGCTCTTCTCCGACCTCATCTCCGCCTTCGCGCGGGCCGCGCTCCCGGACGCAGCGCTCGAGCTCCTCGCCTCCGCGCAGGCCATCGGGCTCACGCCACGCTCCAATGCCGTCACCGCGCTCATCTCCGCGCTCGGCATCGCCGGTCGCGTGCCCGAGGCTGAAGCGCTGTTCTTGGAATTCTTCCTTGCCGGAGAAATCAAACCGAGGACACGCGCGTACAACGCGCTGCTCAAAGGGTATGTCAAAATTGGGTCGCTCAAGAACGCTGAGCACGTGCTCGATGAAATGTCAGAGTGCGGGGTTGCGCCCGATGAGGCCACTTACAGCTTGCTCGTGGACGCGTACACGAGGGCTGGAAGATGGGAGAGTGCAAGGATACTGCTCAAGGAGATGGAAGCCGATGGAGTTAAACCGAGCTCGTATGTGTTCAGCCGGATCCTTGCGGGGTTCCGTGATAGGGGGGATTGGCAGAAGGCATTTGCGGTGCTACGTGAGATGCACGCAAGCGGTGTGCAGCCGGATCGGCATTTCTACAATGTCATGATAGATACATTTGGGAAGTACAATTGCCTTGGGCACGCCATGGATGTGTTTAACCGGATGCGTGAAGAAGGGATTGAACCGGATGTTGTCACATGGAACACACTTATTGATGCGCATTGTAAGGGAGGGCGGCATGATCGCGCCATGGAGCTGTTTAAGGAGATGCGTGAAAGTAACTGCCCACCAGGAACGACCACATATAACATCATGATCAATTTGCTTGGTGAACAAGAGCGATGGGTGGGGGTGGAAACAATGATGTCAGAGATGAAGGAACAGGGCTTGGTTCCCAACATTATCACCTACACTACACTTGTGGATGTGTATGGGAGGTCTGGTAGGTACAAGGAGGCAATTGATTGCATTGAGGCGATGAAAGCTGACGGACTGAAGCCATCGCCCACCATGTACCATGCCCTTGTCAATGCATATGCCCAAAGGGTATGGGACGTTTTTAGTGTGGATTTTTCTTTATGGCTTATGATTGACCATGAGTGTTCCTTGCCAATTCTCTTAGTTCCCTAGCTAACTATCTTTGATAATGTCGATGCAAAACTGTTGCTGATAGTACACTAAACAATTTTTTTTTCATACTACCCAGTATTTTTCTACATCCTGGATAACTAACTAGCTTTGGTAGTCACTTTCGTCATGCTAGCCGGCACTTTTCTACTAACAAGATCTGCATAATCTAATGATGCATTTGAATGGACCATTTCCAGGGTTTGGCAGACCATGCGTTAAATGTAGTCAAGGCCATGAGAGCGGATGGACTTGAGGCTAGCACGGTAGTGCTCAACTCATTGATCAACGCCTTTGGTGAGGATAGAAGGGTTGTTGAAGCATTCTCTGTGCTTCAATTCATGAAGGAAAATGTAAGTGATATTTTGCGCTCATTGTGTTGTCTTGACTTGCATCATGTTACTTCTCTTAAACCTCTGGTCATCTACGCAATTGAATCTTATGAAAAGTCTTATTTATTTTGCCCATCAAATTTCAGGATTTTAAGCCTGACGTTATTACATACACGACACTAATGAAAGCTCTAATCCGTGTTGAGCAGTTCGACAAGGTAAACACAAACTCCTTCAAAATGTTCTTTACTGCAATGCTGGTATAGATAACTTGGATCAAAATGTTATCTGCTCATTATGCTGGCAATGCTGCACTACTTACAATTGTTCTAACAAATTGTGTGTGATATGCTATTCTAACCTTCTCTTCTTGGATAAGTAGACCAGCATCATGGTTCAACTAGTCTTATTTGATACTATTACCTGCAAGCCCTTGCAGCAAAAACACATGATCTGAAGTTGTGGACCTTGTGGTTTGTTAATAATGTACCAGGTTCCAGTCATCTATGAAGAAATGATTACATCAGGATGTGCCCCTGACCGCAAAGCTAGAGCAATGCTGCGTTCAGCTTTAAGATATATGAAACACACGAGGGTTGCGTAGGCAATTTAGATACAAGTTACTAATCACTGATGGAAGCACAACATCTTTGCTGATCTTGTTAAACTCGCAATGGAAGGTTGGTACTTAATTCCTGCATTTGCCGTTTTGCCTTATGTTGTATAGAAGATTTCCAGTTAATAGCAAATCTTGCTTTTGCTGACATGTCGATTGTAATATTTTCTTCAGGTGAAGCTCCACCTGCCTGACAGATAGACTCTGCTTTTTAAGCATGATATATGCAGTTGTCTTTGTAATCAATCGTTTAGGAGAAGAAAGGCACATCTTCATCATCCGCCAGAAGGAAGGCTATGTATCAAAAGGAGGGGGGGAACTTGAATACTTGATATAGAAAGCAAATACGTAAAATCTCTGTTGGGACTTGGGACCTCAAACATTCATATTGAAATTTCTCGAATTGATATTGGCCCATAACTCCGAAGGCAGTACGGTGCCGAGAGATGAATTGTGACGTGGAATTACATTTCCAGGCCAATTTCAGATTGTATTCAGATGTACATTTTTGTAGAGTTTGTGTAGGGCGATATTAAAAGTTGAAAGGATGCAAATTTCAGTGTGTCAAATTTACATACTATTGGTGGGTTTCTTTTTCTTTTTTCTCTGCATATACTTGCTCTATGCAATGTCGCTGTATTTGCACTATGCAATTCAGGGCATGCGTCAGGGTGTGACCGGGGCACACACAGTTGTATGCACCTGCTTGGTGCTGAAAATGTTACATACAGCAATGACACTGAAAATTAGGAAGCTTGGCAGAATCCAAAACACGCGACTTTAGTACTTGCATAGATAGAACAGTTAAACATCAGGCATTGCAGTAGCAAATATTTTGGACAAAGCTAATAGTTTGATACTACAAGACTAGTGATAAATATGCCATACATAAGCTTCAATTCCTGCCAATTTCCAACATCAACCAATCCTTCCTCATGTCCATTGGAAGTGCCACAAGGGATTCAAACTTGCGGTCGCTGCTAGTGAGAATGCAGTAGGCCCTCAGCAGATCACCCCGTCCTAAGTTTGGTATCTCTTGAAGTGCCGCAAAGATTTCCTTTGGAGATGCATTAGCTGGTTCCTCTCGAGGTTCATTTGGCTTCATAGATATCTGAAATGAATTCTTGATATTCCCAGACATGCAAAAGAGTGCATCGTCTGTTCTGAACCTCTTCCTCCTAGTGCTCTGTAGAGTGGGTTGCATTGATGTCGGCGTTCCACCCTGGTCTTGACTGCTAGGTTCAGATGCTGAAGGTGAATTTTGAATAAGCTCCCGGACATCCTCGGCACCCTTCAATGCCATTTCTTGGGCATTCTCAGTGCCTGCACTCTCATCTTCGCTTGTAGCATAATCTCTGGAGAATATTAGACTTATCGCATCCCAATTCTTGATAACTTTGTTTCTGTAGCACGCAGCTGCTTTGGTTTTCTGAAAAATAACCACCAGATGTGAAACAGAAGCTAGAATCGTATCCCAGTAAGAAACAATAGGAACGAATTTTCATACCCCACCTGAATGTACATTTTCCAAGCATCCTCATTGTGAATCACGATCATTTTCTGGTTTCGATCCCATCCAAATTCAGAACGGGCGAGCAGCTTGCTGATGGTACTGCAATGCTTGTCAAAGGTCTTGCATCTCGACAGCACGTGATCCCTCGTGATCTCCACATTGCACTTCTCGCGCACATTTTTCACAGTATGCATGTGGCTTCCATCCATTCGCTGTATGATTGCCATTGTTGTGATGCTCGACAAGAACATCGAGGAGAGCCTGGTCCATTTTGTCTGTCCAAGTAAGGTAACCCCTGTGTTTCCTCTTCCCGTTGCTTGAATCCATCTGACCACAAGATCACACTTGCTAGATTCAGGAAACGCAAGGAGAAGTGTCAACCATGGACAGAGATTGGCTATAAGCTTTGGATACTCTTAAGATGAAAAACAAAATGATAAGCATAGGTCGCAAATCACTATCCCATTACGCCTTTCTTCAACATTGAATCTTGGCATTGTTGGACTGATTTTGTGGCAAGCTACTAAGCTAGCAACATGCAAAATGAGATCTGCAGCATAGAGCATACCTGATGACTCACGCCTTCCGCGGAGTTGCTGTTTGGCTTCTTGATTTGTCCCTAGTGGCGCGCGCCAGTTACCCTGCGCAAAGGAGCACCTCAATCATTCTGAGAAATTCAACACCGGAGACAGAGCAGCCAGCATCGAGCAAGGCGAAGTAGATCCGCATCCTGGGGCCACCGGAGGTAAGCACAGTGGCTGTGGGCTGCGGTGGACGGCGGTGGTGGAGGAGGGTCGGGGTACAGGTAGGACAGCATGTTCCGCCGTAGGCATGGTTTGGAGGGTGGCCGGTGAGCGGTTTGCCCGTTGCCGGAGACGAGGGAGGAAGGAGGGTACCTGGACTGGAGCCGCCGCCGCCGAGCGTCCGAGAGACGGAGAAAGAGGAGGTATTCAATTCTCAGGATTCCAGGGTTTGGGCTCGGAATTATCTAGTTTCTTTTATGTGGTCGATTATAATTCTCACAGAATTGGGGGCGGAACTGGCCACTCTAATACCACATCCCGAAATGCCATCACTGGGAATTACACGCGTCTAACTCAACTCCAATTCCTAGTTTCCAATAATTTCCTGGGAAAAAAACCCGGTCCTCCCTCCTGTGCCTGCAGCCCTACGGCCCCGACAAGGGAAGGTAGTGATGCCCACTCGCGCCAAGTCGTGATGCAGCCCACTGCCGACGTTGTCACATCCCTAGCTTCTGGTAATGCTCTAGGCTAGCTTCATGTGTGCATCATGTTTAAATTCTGAAATTTGAACTGAGGAAATTTGGAAGCCTCAAAACCCTAAATAAAAGAGGGGCAAAGAACCCTGGAAAATGCATTCAATGTTATCAAAATGGCCTTAAATAATGTTGGTTATATTTTGGCAAAGGTTTTGCACCAAACCAAAAATAATGAACATTTTTGAGGAATATTTTGAGCACTGAATTTAAATCATTACTTTATTTGCTTTTGGAACAATATTCATAACTTATATAGAATATATTTCCAAATACCCTGAAACATTTTTATGTGCTTTTGGAAAAGTCCATTAAGCAGCATAAATATTTTCAGAGGAGTTTTTGGCATTGTTTGAATTATTTTTAAATTCAAAACAGTGGCAAAAGAATTAAATAAAAATAAAACAAACAGAAATAAGAGAGAAAGACAGAAACCTCACCTGGGCTTTACCTGGCAGAAGAGGCCCAGCCCACCAGGGGCTGTGTGGTCTTCTTCCTCCTGCCAGGAGGACAGGCAGGTGCGTGGCGAGAGCGCTGGCGACGCCGTGGCCTCCTCCCTGCCTGCCTCACGCCCTGGAGGCCCTTCTAGTGCCACGGAGACAGCCACGCCCCCCAGGCCTCTCACTCTCTCCCCGAGCTCCTCTCTTCCTCTGGCTCTCTCGCGCACAGCCACCGAACACACCCGTCGCCGCCAACGAGCATCACCGCGGCCACCGTCCACCCCGTGCCTCTCCGATGAGTTCAGAGGAACCGCCATCGCCTTCTGCGTCTTCTACACCAACCCATTCGACCACGGGAGCCCTGTAGCGTCTTCCCGGAGCTCGTCCCCAACCTTCGGCCGCCGGCGAACTTTCGAGGATTCGCGAGCTCCAGCCCCTCCCCGGCCTCGTCGTTGCCTCTACCGGATCCGCTGTGAGCTCCTTTTCCATTTCCCCTCCTCCCCGCGCTCGTTCCCGCACGCTAGCCGCCCTTTTCACCGGGGCCGTGAGCTCCTCACCGTCGGCGATGACGCGGACAAGGCCAGAGCCACCAGAGCTAGCTACCGAGCACGGCAACGTGCCCCACACCTCACCAGGAACCTAACTCACACACCAGCTTCCCCTCCCGTGCCCCCTAACGCCAACCCCAACCTCGCCCGAACTCCGGCCGCCGCTAAAGCTCGTCGCCGACCACTCTCCGGCCACCCCCCCGGCCGCGCCACCACCCTGGTTGGATGCGGACGAGCGTACGCATCCCGTAGTCGTGCTCCGCGCGCCAAACGACGCTCTGTAGGCCATTTCCGCAGCGCACCACCGCGTCGGGACTCGACGGCGGCTAAACGTCGGCGACCGTTGACCCTTGACCGGCGTGGGTTGACCCACTGCCCGGTTTGACCCTCCCCTCTGACTCACTGACCAGTGGGCCCCGACCCCCCCTAATCCTTTAATTAAGCAGATAACCCCTGTTAACTAACTGTGACGCTGACATATGGGTCCCACAGGTCAGTTTGACCTGGACGGCGCCCGTTGACCTGCTGACATCACTGTGAGGTCATGCTGACGCATTAATTTCTTTCTGGAATTTAAATAAATCTTAAATGATTTATTATTTTCAAAAAATGCCCTAAACTTCAATAAATCATAGAAATTCAACCGTAACTCCAAATTAAATAATTTATATATGAAAATTATCAGAAAAATTCAAGGAATCCATCTGTACCATTTTCATGCATGTTAGAACAACTTATAGCTGCTGTTTAGCACAAATCAATTAAATGGCATTTGAATAATCACATATGGAGTTTGAATTTGAATCTTGTATTCAAACCAACTTCATTTAATCTGTTGCTAGTTGCATTAGCCCAAAACACATTCATTTTGCCATGTCATGATCATGCATCATATTGTGCATTGCATTGATTGTGTTCCCTTCTGTGTTGCCGGTATTTGTCCCCTCTCGATAGACGTGATACCGATGATGTGATCGTTGACACTGATGAAGACTCAATGTTATCTTCAGAAGTGCTAGGCAAGCAAAACCCCCTTGTTCATTCCGATAAAATCCCACTCTCTCGCTCCTGCTCTCTTTTACTGCATTAGGACAACA